TGACTGACTGACTGACTGACTGACTGACTGACTGACTGACTGACTGACTGACTGATTGATTGACTGAATGCGCGTTATTGCGCCGTATGCGTTAATCTTTGAATAGTACTTTACAACAGCATTCACTGAGTTTCTGTTTTTAGGTAATCAAGTGTTTGCAGAATTCGCCACCGTCCCTCGTCGAGATGGCCGTGAAGATGTCGCCGTATATGATGCAGGCTCAGAATTATTTGCTCGAACTTTTGAACGCGTGCCTACATGAATTGCGACAATGCAAACTGCCCTGTACAGATGTGCTTACCCAGGAATTGGTTTTGATGTCGTCCATCGAACGCTTGCTGTCTACCTACGTTGGACCGAACTACGAAGACTGTATCAGCGAGCGTTCGAAAGTTTTAGTTCAGGGTATGTTCTTTTCCACCTAAAATTTGTGCTGCTGTCTATGAACTTCATTGTTTGTGACGGCTGATTATGAAACACTTTACGCCGCCATGGCTGAAGGCCATAGTTCATTTGTATCAACAGTTGTGCCGACTACACGCCAAATAATTAATCCTGATGATTATCTTATTTATTAATTGACTTACGACATGACTTTCATGTAATCAGTTGTCAATAAGATAAATGTGAATAATCTTATTCCAGTTCTTTTATTTTTAAATTTAATCAGGGAATCCTTTTGCCGTAAGGATGGCATGAAGAGACGTTTTCAACCGTTGTTACCGTCATCTTGTTAGCTGACCCGTTTGAGAATCATGGCGAGTGTTGATTGCTGTCATAATAGTTTGAGAGTTACAAAGAATATGTTTCACGTGACTTTACTATGCGTAACATCCCGGCCTTTTTTAGTGATATCTTTCTCATTGTGCCAGGACGAATTTCATGTAAGATTTTAAGCCTCAGTATCATTCATCTCATCCTTCATGGATAGATGATCATCAGATAATATTCGTTTGCTGCTGCTGAAGAAAAATGTGTCAAATAAATTTATATAGAATTAGCTACATGGATTACACGAATGAAGATGAAGCAACACTAAGGCAGCGGCAGCGCCAAATGCGGTTTGATACTGTAGTACTGCTTAGATATATTGATGTATACTAATGTGGCATTAGCAAAGGAGTCTGCATAAGTGCTGCTCCGATGCCGTTAAAAGGTACTGCTGGTTCATGCCTTTCTATCGAGAACACTCTAATAGTGTGAATTGTCGCACACAAACTTTAGACAAACCAAAACACCAAATCGTAACTGACGTCTACTGTAAATTGACATCATGCTAGACTGGGTATCCGCAATTACGCCTTTGAACAGGCATAGGTTCGTCACTTACC